AATTTCTCAAATTCCGAGAAAATTAAGCTGTTGGTTGAGGATTCTTAACCTTCCAAATTTTCAATCTCAAACCTAATTTGCCAAAACGAAACAGTAATCTGGGTATACTACTGTGTAGAAAAAATATCTTCTTTCAAAAGATGTACATATAATGCGTTGCTAAGTCCCTGGTTTTTACTTTTATGAATTTGAAAAAAAGAGCACGAACTTATATAAGAACCCGATCTTTCCAAATACATTCTTCATCTGATTTACTATATGAGTGGATGTCGAAAACGAAGCGGTCTTGAAAAAAATAATTTCACCCCACTCACAAGAAGCATCTCTGTCACGGTCCGCTTGAAGTCTTACTCTATTCCTCAGCAACAACTGTGAAGTAAATGACATTAAATATGCATTACGGTTTTTAGTGTAGTGCTAGTTCCAGAATATGGCTAGTATATATTCAAAAGAATGCTTTGCTGTCAATTTTACTGAAACTTATCTTACACAATTTGCAGTCATGAGAGATACCCTCAATTCGATGAGTTGAATTTCAGAAGGAACTGAAAGAGTACGAGCACCGTCTGCCACTATCTTCCATCACGCACTTCTCAATTGATGGTGATGTTCTCATCACTCACATCCATTGGGGTGGAAAATATTATGTTTGTTTCATCATTAGCGAAAAATGATACTTACAACATTATTGACTCTCAATTCCAGCCCGTTCCCTATGAAAGCGGTCTTGTTGGTGAGGGACTTGCCCCCGGCAAGAGCCTTTTGCTCTTTGGAATGCCCGAAAAGAAGGGAAAACGATTCCACATCAACATTCTCAAGAAGAACGGCGACATTGCGCTGCACTTCAATCCAAGATTTGATGAGAAGGTATGTGGTGTGTGGTGGCCTTGATTTGCTCTCTCACCTATGTACGGGGTGTGAAATGACGTTTATCAATTGAAGGCCGTTGTTCGCAACTCGCTAATAAGCAACGAATGGGGCAATGAGGAGCGTGAGGGTAAGATGCCCTTCGAAAAAGCTGTCGGCTTTGACCTCGAAATTAAGAACGAGGAGTATGCCTTCCAGGTGAGAATATCATGGACAATTGCCCAAATTTGTTAGGGATTTAGGGGAGACGTAATTGTCAGATTTGCCTGCGAGATACTAATTTATATCAGTTTGCAAGATTGTAGTTAGAGAAATTCACTCTGCAGCATAAAATTTGCAACTTCTCTGATCCTTCTGGCATCGTTTGGGTGTGATTTCATTTCGTTTCCGAGGTATTTGTGTAGCCAATAAAGTTGAAGAAACACAACAACAAGAAGTTTAAAAACTTGGGATTTTGCCAGTATAGAGTCAAACGTTTACATCTTTCGTACACAATAAGCATTCTTAGTGTTTAATGCTGGAGAAACCTGATAAAGAGGGAGGATTTTAAAGAAGTACAAAGATGTGCCTTCATATTTGACAGTCATTCTTGCAGATTATCATTAACGGTGAACGATTCACATCATTCGCACACCGACTTGAACCTCACGAGCTG